TATTCGGATCTTAATAGTATGATTTGGATGCTTGTTTGGTTTTATGTATGTGAAGAAGATATTAGTATAATAAAAAATAACTGTCAAGTTGCATGATTATAATGATTTACTTTGTTTTAGGCGCAATGTTACAATATAAGTAGAAAAATAATTACACCATTAAATAAAGTTAAATTTAGTATTATGTAACATGTGCACTATATATGTGTACATAGTATAGTACAATATTCTATAGTAAACATAATTTGTTAGTGTAATCATTTGCTTACCAATTCACGCGATACAACTTGGTACCAACTGATTTCGTTGCGTTTAATTTTGTCGGACAGTCAGGAACAGTTTACTTTGAAAAAGAAATTTGATCTGATTCTATATCAGTGCTACAACAATATTGATATAAAAAAAATAAACCTTAACCCTTACATTTATTTCATAAAACAAAGATATAAATATGTAATACCCAGTCCATTTTAATAGTTAGAGAAAAGTAACATAATAAGGTATTTAGATTTTAGTTAAATAGAGTTAGAAGTGCAGACATTAAACGATTTATTCATGATCATCAAATCGATTCATCAATTATAATCAGAATCGAAGCACTCGATACAGCACTAATGATGCGATTGTACGAACGTTTTTACACAGCAATTAACTCCCGAAACTCGTTTGTGGTTTATTTAATCACGTGCCGTTTTAAGTTTTTTTTTTCACAATTAACTTCTGACCAAAGAGATTTCACGCTAACTATTCTTTAAGGTATATAGTTGAAATTTTTATCGACTTTTCCTGTTTGACTCAATTGTTCTTTATTATTTATTTACGTGTGAAATTACTCTATTGGAAAAAAAGTTTGTAATTAGATATTCTTGCCAATAATTGTGAGAAGCTTTCGTTGCAAGCCATCGTGACTATGATTATAATGGAAGGAAAAAAATCTTATAATTGTTTTAAATTACACTGTTGTTATTAACTTTATAATTAATGATAAATTGATCATAAATAGCTGAATGAATTTTTTTGTTATTTATTTTATGAAATTTAATGCTCCATTCGTGTAATTTGACATACTTGTGTGAGTGGAATGTGTTTTCACGAAAGTTGTTTTATACACGAATCGATAAGCAGAAGAGTTTGATTACGTCATAGCAGGTTACAGCGTTGCCAGGCTTTACGAAGTTACTTGCTACAGTATTTAAAACCATGTTAGATTAATTATAACCTGATGTGTATAATTTCTATTTTAAAACGAATAACAACTTGTATAAATTGATATAATATACATATTTTTTTGTATTGCTTCTTATAGAATCAAGGAATAAAATTATAAAGAAAAAAATATATAACCCAGCCTTAAGTTTCACGTAACTTGTTCACTAGTCAGGCGAGAGAGCGATTACCCTATAAATAAATCATAACTAGAACATTACATTCGTACCACTGCAACTTTTGATAATTTCAGCTAAGTGGCTTCAATGGATGTTGATACCGGATTAATAATACTACACATAGTAATCGGTAATAAATAATGATTTAAATTTTATTTAAAATGGTCATTTCAGTATATATTTTAACTGAATATATTTATATTTTAACTAATGATAAATCATATAGCAGGACGATAATTTATGGACGATTACATTATCAGAAATTGCGTGTGAACAGGCTTTGAAGGGGGCCATTAGATTATAATCAATTTTCTTGTAAAAATACTATATTCTGGTTACCATTGGATAAGAATATTTATATTTACATCTGGAATTTTAATTACAACCAATAATTATAACTTGCATACTTTTAACACGAATGTTTAATTAGTATATTGGACACGCGATTCATATAATTAAATATATAATATAGTTTTATATTAGTTACAGTTTAAATTAGGGAGGGGTTTCGAAAGGTCTTTTGATTTTATTTAAAAAATAATCGTACGTTATAAAAACTTCCATAACACGGTAACTGTATCAGATCATGAGTTACGGTAGCGTTGACATATGGTGTTCTACTTGCTGGCTTTTTAATATAAAGGGTGCTTGTTTCGACCTTACGATACGATTAGTCTTACCAATACAAACCCATTAGGAAGTGAAATTAAAATAACTAATTATCATCAGGAATAACAATAGTATCTCTGAAATGAGTAAATGGATGATAAATTTTTAGTATACAATTTTATGTAAATAAAGAGTTTAACGTAGCATTCTGTGCAATATATTTTTACAGGCATAAAATTAGTCTTAACGCCCAGAACAACTTCTACGGGGCAGGAATATTTTGTAGGGATGTCACTAATATAATAATTAATTATTAATGTTATTTTTCTATTTTTTTCTCCATAGACATCTTTGATCCATATTCGTTGTGTTAATAAGGGTACGTCAATATAATTTATATACATAAATTGAACTTATATTCAGATGTGAACTGTGAAGAGTAAATACTCTTCAAAGCAAATTTTTCAATTGGTTAGATTATTTGGTAAGAATACATATATACTGTTTGTATTTGTTCATAAAAATTTTAAAAAATCAAACTATTTTTGTTTATAAATTAGTGATCGTTCGTTATAAAAGTTCCTAATCGAGCATTGGTGCATCCAACACGTTGACTTGAAAAAGAATTCTGAAATTAATGTCTTTGTTTTGAATACAATGGAAGTGCTTTTTGACTCTCTTTGATTCTTTAGAATCTGAGTTTATGTAACGATACTTTCAGTTGTTAGTGATGATCATTTGAAATGTATTCTGTTCTAGCTGATTAAAATCCGATATAAAAATTAACAAATTTAAATTTGTTATTTTTATGATACAGATAATACTATTTGAGACCCTTTTTTGTTTCAACTATTAGATGTTTTTCAACCCTTTTAAAATGAAATCAGTAAGACTTATAACAAAACTAATACTTACTGAATCATAAACAATTAAGAAGATATGGCTTAAGGAAAGCGACTCGGTGGATTACAAAAGTTGCGTTAGCTGGGTCACATAAAAATTGCTAGTTGGTTTGAATTATTCTATTTAAATTCTTTACTTACCCACACTTCAAAATTTATTTGAAAATGTAAAAAATCCTTTAAAAAAATATTCCTCGAAATCGAAATAACATTTTGGGTACCCAGAATATATAAGATGTTTTCTAATTGTCTTAAATAATAAAACAATACACGTAATACTTTAATACCTTGTTTTGTTAACTAGTAAGTTTAACTCATTTACATTTATCTCCAAATTAGACGTCAGCAATATAGTTTCGCGACACCTACGAAGTGGGTCACGATGGACTTAAAAAGCTGCATAGAGCGCCCACAAAACACACTAAATACAATTAAGACTTAATAAATTACATTTGAAACTACCGGACTTTGTTATAACGTTTTAATGACCTCTACAGTCTGTAGTGCACTAAAACGTAGGAATTAGGGCTGGCATTTGTATATATTTTTTTAATATTTATTATACTAGTTTTTTAAAGTAATGCATTATACCAGAAAATATTTATTGTTTAATAAAAATTATGTTTTATAACTATGGTTTCATTAATAAAAATTAATGTTCGAAAAACTTATGTTTTTTTTTCTGTGTTTCGCTGGCAACCCTAACGCACTGTAAGTAACAAAACGGAGTGATATATACGCCCTCTGATAATTGAGGTTGTAAATGTAGTTGGTTTCATAAATTATTAAAATTATGAGTTTATTTCATTTTCGTGGCCGAGCCGAAAAAAACTTTATTTATTGGCTTCCAAGGATTAATTCACAATGAGCGGTAGATAAGTTGTAATGTTACCGTAAAAATATACAAATTTCTATAATGTTCGTGTTGTTTTATGATTAATTTAGTGAAAAGTTAGTATGGAGATTATGAAGGGAAATAGGGGAACAAAAGGTTATATTAATTGTATACGTAAGAGCCACTGCTTGTCTTTATGAAGTAATTACGTTTAATTGGGCATATTGTAAAATGCAGGCGAGACAAAAGGATTCGACAACATGTCGTTGAACGTCTTATTTCTGTTACAATTAATTCCAATCTATTCTATTATAACTCTATGACTATAATAACTCTATTAATACCTACTATAACATACTATTTTATAGGTCATTTATATTTAACAATATTATGTAAGAGAATTAGAGAACATTTTCGCAAACAGAATAATTTAATGAATTTATAAAATGTTGGAGAAATATATCAGACTATGAATATAAGATCTGCGTGAAATATAATATTAGTTTCGTAACAAATAAAAACATGTTGAGACTTCTAAACTTGTTGAGTATAGTTTCAAAGTAAGTTGAAGTGAACAGTCAATAATACTTATGAGTATATTTTTGCAATTGAAATAGTTAATATAAGGTTTCACATAGTTGACTACTTTTTAAGAAAATCATTACGTTTACAAAACGTTCTTATGAAAAAACAACTTAAAACTACGTGTGTTTTTATAAAAGTATAGTAATTTCTTTGACGCCTTTGTGATTGCTTGTCAGTACATTGATGCAATGAATGAACTGACAACAAAGTTATATGTAAAACCTTATTTTTCTCGTGAATATTATATTGAAATTCAAATTTAATAAGCGTATTATTATTTTTAAAATTTCATACCGAACCCGTCGTTCGGATGAAGATAAAAACAATATGAGCTACGGAACATGAATTATTAATGCCACGTATCAATGTTTTATGAAATCAACAATTTGTGGTTTCCAGAAATGTTGTGTTGTTTTTTTTTTAGAAATTAGAGTCCCCCAGAGAATTCTCGAAAACCGTGTTTGTGGACACGCATAACATAAGCTGTGTAGTAGTATTTTTCTTCAACAAATAGCTTTTTTCCTTTATTTTTATAAGGAATTGTGAAAAAATATAAATTTTATTTGAAATGAAAGAGATAGCTATAAACACAATTATTGCCGTGTAATAAAACAGAGATGTCGAGGCGCTTGGATGCTTAATATTCTTTCCTTTGTTTCAGATTCGATGTGAAAAGCAATAAATATGGACTTTAAATACCTAATCCTGATGATTGCTTTCGCAACGGTCGAGATAAACTTGACGGAGAGTCGTCAAAATGATAAACGAAGATGGAAATCAGAAAAATCTCTGTACTCTCATTACGTGAACATTTGTGACATACAAGATCGAGTGTCCAAAGTACATTGTTACTGTGAGAGCATTAAAATTAAAACTGCCACTAAAGCCGACTGTTGGGTTTTTAATGGCGGCATAGCCGAAGATGACCCATTTTGGTCTAACTTTTACTCGCAACCTAAAATAGAAAGGCTTACATTTAATGTACGGGCAGATGGAGGACTCACCTATATACCAGCGAAAGTTATTATACGACTCGACAGACTATACTATCTTAATATTCAATATGCAAATATTTTCAGTATACCATCATTTGCGTTTACCAATTCTTCAACATTGAGAGAAATATCGTTACCAAAGAACAAAATTGCTAAACTCGAGAAAATGTCTTTTGCCCATTTAATAATGCTTGCTAACGTTAGCCTGACCGAGAATCAAATATCTGAATTGCATAGAGATGTATTTTATGTGCTGCCGAATTTACAAAGGCTTCATCTATCCAAGAATACAATAAGCGTCCTTCATGACGGATGCTTTAAGCATTTGAATAATTTGATCAAATTGGATTTGAACAGCAATCTGTTGACAGTTGTGATAAGGGAGAATTTCTTAGGGTTATCCAATTTGATTACACTAGACGTGAGATATAATAAGTTATTGATGATAGGTGATTTGGCGTTTGCAGAACTTTGGAGCCTTCAAGAACTTTATTTAGATGGAAACGAAATAGAATTTATATCAGAAAGAGGTTTTGGCGGATTGACTCAGCTGAAAAAACTTTCTTTAGCTGATAATAAGTTAGCTGTTTTGGACGACGGAGTGTTCGATGACGTGAAAAAGTTGAATGTTCTGGATTTAAGAAACAACAACTTGGAAACATTGAAACAAGAAACGCTAAGAAGTCTTGTAGAAAATATGAAAACAAATTACGCACTAATATCTCTCGATGGTAAGTCCTTGATCTCCTTCAGTATTTTTCATTTAACTTTTGATCTTCAACATAAAACTAAACAATAATGTTACTTTTACAGTGAGAAATATTAATTCAGAGAGGTTCATAATTTTATTAAAGTGATTAATTGCTCTTGAAGAAATTTAAAACGTTACTTTATTTTCCCCGAATCTCGGCTGGGTTTCATGTAATAACACAAAAAATAATCATATTCTTTTGAATTTTTGAACAATAATTCGACATTCATAACATTACATACATAATAGTGGAAACACAAATATAAAAGTTATGAATACACAATTATGTAAAGTATTAGATACAAATATGATAATTACGAATTTGCCTATATAATCTTTATTACATAACAAGTCCTAACATATGTATATGCTTTTAAAGCTTACGTATGAAGCCATTAAAATAAGAAAATTATATAATCTGCGGCTTATTAGCAAGTAGTGTTCTCTGAATTTAGTACTGAATACTTACGACTGAGCAAATGTGAAACATTAGAACGAGTTAGTTATAAAGTCTCAGGCGTAATGTTAAAATATTTTAGAAGGTTGTTTTCAATGTCATGTTTGAAATTATTATTATGCCCATCCCTTTGTTTTTACATAGAACAAAAACCATAGTATTTTATATAACTCGAAAATGAAAACTGTTTCGTTCGAAAAGAAAATATTTTCAAATGGAGCACAGAAAGAAAACAAGAAAACGATTTATACTTCGCGTATAAAATGAATTTTGCATTTTTATCAGATTTTGCGTAATAGCTTTGATAGTGAAATATGTTAGGTAAAAATCTCCAGCTTATATCTATAAAAAATTACGAACGGGAAAATAACATTTCATTTACGATTTGCTAAACATCGTAAACTATGAACACAGTGACCGAAGTTTCAAAGTAATTAATCTTTCGTGTTGTTAAATTCATCAGTCTGTTAATGTGCACGCAACTGAAATTTATGCCATACATGAAGGCGTGCATAAGGGTGAAATTCACATGATCTGAGTCATTTTGTTAGAATTTTGCACTGTTTACTTAATTTTATACACGTTACGGTGAGGGTTGCTTAGAGCTTAAATTTAATATTACAGTTACTGTGCTAACTGTAACTGAAACTCAATGAATCAAATGTTAATATATAGTGGTTTGTTCTACTGTGACATTTTAATGGGGGTATATTTCGTGGTCAGGCGATATTATATTTGCCGCAAAACTACTCGTTGCTGCACTTTCATTGTCGTATATGATTTAATAATGCCTATGCAGTGGTTTTAATTTATTTTTGTGGCTGTAGTCTGAAAATATTATTTTACATGAATACACCACCAACATAAATAGTAACTGTGCAAAGTATGACCACTTTTGCTAGTTTTTAATTAAATAGATGGCATTTAAATTGGAAGTGTTTTTTTTTCTTTGAACTCTTGAAGTTTGTGATGCTTTCAAAGTTATTTTGTTTATGCACACGACAATGCACTGAAAATGATTACATAACGTCAACCCTATTTATTATTAAAATATACATACATACTCATTTTGATAACATATAAAATAAATGGTATAAAGAAGACAATATTTTACGGATTATATATTAATAGAGTTTATAATATACATATATGTATATTAAAATCATGTATTTTTATTTTAACAGGTAATAAGTTCACGTGTGATTGCCGACTGTCGTGGTTGTATCAGCTCCGGAACGAAACAAGAAGCAAGCGAGTACGAGCCTCTTTAGTCCGATTGAATTGTATAATGGACACCAAACTTAAAGCAAATTTAGGTAACATAAAGGTACAGAAATCTGAGACATCTCTCAGGGTGAACAATGGTGCTTATAAAATTGAGAAAACAGACGATGATGACGATGATTTTGATGAAGATCATGTTTATGAAGATGCTATGCAGGACCAGGAGAACGGTTTAGATTCACTTAAGATAGAATATCGTAGGAAGCTAATGGAAATTCCAGTTGACATGCTCCCTTGTGCTAGCAAACTCAGCTATGAGGCTTCCTACTCGCCGCCGACGCAAGACGAAGTCAAATATTATAAAACTTCAGGATGCGAAAAGCGCTTTCTCTCCATCTTTATTTTGATATTATTATGCACTCTAGTAAATATAATGTAGCGTAAAAATAGATGGCTGTCTGAGTAGTTTTAACTTCGACATTATTTAAATATTTCGACTAAATGTATAAGATCTGCCTTGATTACACTTTATAATTAGTAATTAATAGATGATAATTTTAAAATGCTGAAATGGTAGATGAAGTCTTAATTTATTTTATTCAAATTAAATAGCCATATTATAATACGTTTAGTTTGTACAATATTAAAAAGTATTATTTAGTGTTAATGTAAATATATTACTAAGATATTCTGCTGAAAACTCATATGATTCGTGTGTTATTTATTAAAAAAAAATTGTGCTTCACAATTATTGAAATTATATATAAAATTAAATTTCTTATATAAAACTATTTTTTCATGAAGCATGTTCTTTAAGTCAATAGAATAAATATTGTAGCGGTGACGAAATAGAAGTAATATAAAAGTTTCTCATTTTAAAATGTTTATTAATATAAGATTATGTTTAAAATTTGTGTGTTTGAGGATCACTTTTAGCCAGGTCTAGTCAATGCAATAAAAACATAACAATACTTTCATATCTTTAAAGCTATTTTTAGATTAGCTAACAATTAAAGAATACTCTAACAATGTGCTAAATTACTATTCAAATCCTTTTGCAGATATGTAGAATTTTTCTTAGTTATAATTGTTTAATATAAAATAATATGTAATTAAAGTATATATTTTGTGACGACATATAATTTTTTGTGCATCCTTTGACTGCTTTTCACATATGACACAAAATGTTTCCTTTGCATTTAATATAATAGAGTTACATATTTCAGATTTATAATGTAAATACTTAAATATTTTACTATAGTATAGTATAGTACTACTACAAGTATAGTATCTGATCGAAGACTACATTAGGTTAGCTTAAATGATTTTATTGTTAATTCAATCTTAGTTCTTAATTACGTATAACTTTCATATCAAAGATTATTTTTTAAGAATAGTATTATTAATCACTTTTAAAATATATGGCATTGTAAATAATTCATAATACTTCATCATTTATGTAACCTATTGTATGAAAATGTGTGAGAATAATAAATTGATACTTTTGCATTCTTTTGTTTACTTTTATTTTTGTGTCCTTTTTATATTTCTAAGTTCAGATTCATGAATCAGAAATCTGGAATTGTATCTGAAATATATAAATTTATTATATTGGTAGGTTGTTACAAATTGATTTATATTTAAGTGTTAGCATTATTTATGATTTATGTATTAAATATGGGCGTAGAGTGGGCACAGTGCCATGAAAACGTAATTCAATTGCGGGTTGATTTTATTAATATATGATAATAATTAATTGAATATTTTTAACTAGAGAAAGGAATAAGTTTATTTTTTTACTAGGAGGAAACTTATTATCGGTTACGAAGGTGTAAGACGAAAAGATTTAAAAATATATATTTTATTTAATGCCCTCACGGTCGCAATTCATTTGCCACATGAAAATATTTTCTGAGAGAATTCCGTTTTGGCACCAGTAAATAAATCTGAAATAAAAAAAGGTGTACACTCAACAAAAAAAAAACTAGCTACATCAATTTATAGTTTACTAGCGATATTTACTATTATTTCTAGGTACATGTATCATACATCCATATTTAACAAATTTTTATAAACTATTCGATGGAAATCTTGCTACTTTAAAGTCGATATTTTTGATAAATTAGGCAAAATTTTGGACAAATAGTTAAATATATGACGTCATTCTTAATTCAAGTATTAGTTTGCTAGTTAGTTTTAATGCACTCCTCCAATACCGGTCACAAATTAAAGGGGCTTATTAAAGTTTAAGTCTAATATAGCGTGGACTACTTTGGTTAATGGTCTCACAAAATATAGTCATCAAAAGAAAATTTCGCTGAGAATAACTAGAAAAATGAGATTCATAAAAACAAGTATGTGAAATATGCTTATGTGATTGATTTCTAATATAAAAATTTTGGTACCAAGTAAATACTAGTACTGAAAACTATTTTTATAATCATATAGTATATATTTTTATATAATATATAAACATGATGATTATTTTCGATCAGAGAATAGATTATTTTGGGCAATAAAAATCATAAGAATAAAATATATAGGTTCTTATTAGAAATCAAGAGTTATGAGAGATATTAAAAGAAAAATAATAATAATCTGTTGACATTACAATTTTTTACAGTTTATGAAATATCTCCTTAAAATGAATATAAAGAAAGTGTTTTTGCAGAATTATTTTTAAAATCAACGAAAATTTTTTTTTATGTTCTTGATTTCATTTTGGTATTTTTTAAAATGTTTCGAAACTAATATCTTTTGAAATAAAATTATGATTGTCTAGAATTTTACATTTTCATTTGTGAAAATAAACTCTTTTTCCATTTTGCTTTTATTTGATCCACTCAGTGTATGTTGAAAAAAAAATGTTTTTAATTACTATTTGAAATTTAAAGCCTATAATATGTTACTTTGTATAAATGAAACGTTATAGATATTTTGTTATAATAATAATTGTTTGCTAGCTAAATTAACTATTAAAAGTCTCTAACTTTGTTCACATTACTGTATTATTCCTCTAATATACTCTTGTATTAGTTGAAACCCGAAAAGCTATTTTAAATTAGTAGCATATACCTAGAGTAATATTATTATATTGTTATGAAAGAATTTAGATAGAAAGGTTTGGCTTTCTTTATAGTTTAGATTATTTTAGTTTGTAAAATGGATGAAGAAACTAAATATTAAGCATAATATTTATAATAGTAAGTAATAATCGCAGTTTCAAAGCCTATAAATTACATATAAATAATAAAAAAATAGTCGGATAAATCTAATAAAATTTGAAGGTACCTACTTAACATCTTTATAATATCGTTCTAAAGGATTTGTTACATCTTCATCCTATTTAACATACAGTGACACACAAAATAAAAGCATAGCTGATTACGTGAGGCATTCCGTAGTCCGTAATTCGCTGTTTCCGTTCAGTTTCCCTGATTACATTATGATAACTGAATGCCCATTGGGTCTAATTATTGCATTTATCAGCTATTCTCATTAGAAATTTACGTATACTATTTAACATTGTATCGAGTTCAACAACAATAAGATATAACAAGTATTGGATGTGAATACATTTAAACATTTAGCTGTATTCATGAATATTAAGTTTTACGTGCTCAATATCTGAGCTTCTAATAATAATATTCAATACATGATTTGAATTAGAACCGATAATTTGATACCAGATTATATTAATAACTAATATATTTCGTATATTTCACAACACATTAGCTAAACAAAGAATTCTAGGCATATTTTTTTCTGTACATAAAGAAAATTAGTAATTTATATTTTCAACAATTTTTTAACAAACTCAAACCTTTATGATTTTCATAGCGTTTTCAAAATACAAATATTTTTTAAAATAACTTGTACTGAAAACAGGAGGTGTTGATTCTGTGCACAATTATTTCTTCGCTTATAATAACAGCTTGCTTGTTTATTTTGAAAGGTGCTTACTAAATTTGTTTACCGGACGATTTCGTTTTGAAATCTCTGAAATGTAAATTGGAGGTTGTCTTAACATAATTAATGGTTTTCTAACATTTACTTTCACCTTGAGAATGTTGATCTAGCGTATAATAATAATTTCCTATTAAAATTAATTTGATTTTATGACAAAATATACATTATTTCTCCGAAATAATTCAAATGGGTGTACACACGTCGCTAATAAAATGGCATTCTCAAAAACAGGAACAAAAAAGTATGTATCAATCAAAAAAATGTATTTCAATACATCGTCGGTAACAAGACTCACGTGCGCTAGATTTGATCCCTGCATCGGGTTCCTAAACTGGTTATTAGAGATAACAATGATGTATTATGGACCATTTGTATTAAGGGACATTGTGATCTTTTTCAATATAACGTACGCTGAAAATACACATTATTTATGTTGACCGAAATTTCTGTAAGAAGTATCTTGTTTTAAACTCTTAACAATATCTAAGTACTATTGGTAATTTGTTTTTATTTTTCGTTATTTATTTTTTACCCGTGTTTGACTTGATATACTTTTAAACAACAAGTGACTTCTGAAAATCTTTAGTAACTCCCCAACTATCTTAATTGGTCACTATTAATGGTGTCGTAGCTAGAATCAAGACTTAAGACTAAAAATAAAATAAAAAAATTAGTAGTAGATCTCTTGAGTTGTATAATACTATCTTAGATTTTTTATAGCTGAGAGGTAATAGTATCTAGTATATGTTTTTTTCTGTTCACTTAAAAAAATATAAAATTATAAGTATGGAAACTTTTGTATTCAGACCATAAGTACAAAATTTTTTTTTGATTAATGAAACTAAAAATAGTAAAAGTTTTATAAATATAAAAATAGTAAAACTTTTTAGTACCGGTTTTCCACTAAATAACCGTTCTTTAATAAAGTCTGATTTTATACATGATTAATATTATGCAGAAAATAATTATTGGTGAATTGTTTTAAAACTAATTTATGAGTACAAATAATAAAAAAGAAATTTCGTATTTGGTAATTTAAAAATTTAGAACACAAATATAACTGAAGAAGACAACAAAATTTAAGTCAAACTTATATGTATAAAAAATATTTTATATTCAAATATAAATCGAAATAAAGATATATATTATTAATAAAATACATTACAATCACATTATACCTTATATTTTCAAACTTCTGCCTTTACCAAAAGAGGTCGAGATTTCATCAAAGTAAGTCGAGTGACAAGCGTTGGATAGAATGTTATCTCTACTTAAAAAAACACTTCAGCTAACTGTTTCCATTAACTCTAAAAATGTCCGTCAAACAACACAAAGAAAAATCTTTAATTAATCCGCACTTAATTATAATTTTAAATCAGTTTAAACAAATACAATTTGCAGACATTTGTTCCCCTTTCACAGGCAGCAGATGTTGTATAATGTTTTCATAAAAATCCGGAAATTAAATCG